CAGTGGGTGCAGGTGTGTTGCTCTTCCAGTGGGTAGAAGTATGTTGCTCTTCCAGTGGGTGCAGGTGCTGCACTTCCAGTGGGTGCAGGTGTGTTGCTCTTCCAGTGGGTGTAGGTGTGTTTTCCAGTGGGTGCACGTGTGGTACTCTTCCAGTGGATGCAGGTGTATTGCTATTGCAGTGGGTGCAGGTGTGTTGCTCTTCCAGTGGATGCAGATGTGTTGCTATTCCAGTGGGTGCAAGTGTGTTGCTCTTCCACTGGGTGCAGGTGTGCTTCCCTCCCAGTGGGTGCAGGTGCGTTTCTCTTCCGGTGGATGCAGGTGTGTTGCTATTCCAGTGGGAGCAGGTGTGCTGCTCTTCCAATGGATGCAGGTGTGTTGCTATTCCAGTGGGTGCAAGTGTGTTGCTCTTCTAGTGGGTGCAGGTGTGTTGCTCTTCGAGTGGATGCAGGTGTATTTCACCAACAGTATATGCAAGAATGCTAAACAACCTGTGAGGGCACATGTGCAGCACCAACAGTAGGTAGGTAGTGGTGTAATATACAGTTAGCAGGTGTGTGCTGCCGCTAAGCAGGTGGTTTGTCACCACCAGTGAGTGCAGAAGTGCTGCACCACCAGTAAGTGCAAGAGTGCTGCACCACCAGTGAGTGCAAGAGTTAGTTACCATTTTGTCCTAGGCACATGTCGATTAGACACTAGGCCTGTTGTATTGTGTGTGTGTGTGTGTGTGTGTGTGTGGTGTGTGTGTTGGTGTGAGTGTGTGTGTGAGTGAGAAGTGCTGCACCACCAGTGAGTGCAAGTGCTGCATCACCAGTGAGTGCAAGAGTGCTGCACCACCAGTGAGTGCCAGAGTGCTGCACCACCATTGAGTGCAAGTGTGTTGCACCGATAATTAGTGCAAGTATGGTGCACCACCAAGTAATTGTAAGTGTGATGCATCAGTGGGTGAAAGTAATGCACCACCAATGAGTGCAAATGTGAGCCACTACTAGTGAGTGCAAGCGTAGTGTACCGCCAGTTGATGAAAGTGACACACCATCAATGGGTGAAAGTGATACACCATCAATGGGTGAAAGTGATACACCATCAATGGGTGAAAGTGATACACCATCAATGGGTGAAAGTGACACACCATCAATGGGTGAAAGTGACACACCATCAATGGGTGAAAGTGATACACCATCAATGGGTGAAAGTGACACACCATCAATGGGTGAATGAAGTGAAAACACCATCAATGGGTGAAAGTGACACACCATCAATGGTGAAAGTGCCACCATCAAGGGTGAAAGTGACACACCATCAATGGGTGAAAGTGACACACCATCAATGGGTGAAAGTGACACACCATCAACGGGTGAAAGTGACACACCATCAACGGGTGAAAGTGACACACCATCAATGGGTGAAAGTGACACACCATCAAAGTGTTGAAAAGTGACACACCATCAATGGGTGAAAGTGATACACCATCAACGGGTGAAAGTGACACACCATCAATGGGTGAAAGTGACACACCATCAATGGGTGAAAGTGACACACCATCATGGGTGAAGTGACACACCATCAACGGGTGAAGTGACACACCATCAACGGTGAAAGTGACTCACCATCAATGGGTGAAAGTGACACACCATAAACGGGTGAAAGTGACACACCATCACGGGTGAAAGTGACACACCATCAATGGGTGAAAGTGACACACCATCAATGGGTGAAAGTGACACACCATCAATGGGTGAAAGTGACACACCATCAATGGGTGAAAGTGATACACCACCCGTGGGCGACAGTAATTCAGCACAAGTGAGATGCACCACCAGTAAGTGGTGCACCACCAAAGTGTGATGCACCACCATTAAAGTGAACGCACCTGCACCAGTGGGTGCAGGTGTGTTCTACAAGAGGGTATATGTGTACTTTATCACTAGTGCAGGTGTACTGCTCCACTAGTGGGTGTAAGTGTACTTCACCAGTGAGTGTAAGTGTACTTCACCAGTGAGCGTAAGTGTACTTCACCAGTGGGCGTAAGTGTACTTCACCAGTGGGTGTAAGTGTACTTCACCAGTGGGTGTAAGTGTACTTCACCAGTGGGTGTAAGTGTACTTCACCAGTGGGCGTAAGTGTACTTCACCAGTGAGTGTAAGTGTACTTCACCAGTGGGCGTAAGTGTACTTAAACCAGTGAGCGTAAGTGTACTTCACCAGTGGGTGTAAGTGTACTTCACCAGTGGGTGTAAGTGTACTTCACCAGTGGGCGTAAGTGTACTTCACCAGTGGGCGTAAGTGTACTTCACCAGTGGGTGTAAGTGTACTTCACCAGTGGGAGTAAGTGTACTTCACCAGTGGGCGTAAGTGTACTTCACCAGTGGGTGTAAGTGTACTTCACCAGTGGGCGTAAGTGTACTTCACCAGTGGGTGTAAGTGTACTTCACCAGTGGGCGTAAGTGTACTTCACCAGTGGGTGTAAGTGTACTTCACCAGTGGGCGTAAGTGTACTTCACCAGTGGGTGTAAAGTGTGTACTTCACCAGTGGGCGTAAGTGTACTTCACCAGTGGGTGTAAGTGTACTTCACCAGTGGGCGTAAGTGTACTTCACCAGTGGGTGTAAGTGTACTTCACTAGTGAGTGTAAGTGTACTTCACCAGTGAGTGTAAGTGTACTTCACTAGTGAGTGTAAGTGTACTTCACCAGTGAGCGTAAGTGTACTTCACCAGTGAGTGTAAGTGTACTTCACCAGTGAGTGTAGGTGTACTTCACCAGTGAGTGTAAGTGTACTTCACCAGTGAGTGTAAGTGTACTTCACCAGTGAGTGTAAGTGTACTTCACCAGTGAGTGTAAGTGTACTTCACCAGTGAGTGTAAGTGTACTTCACCAGTGAGGTAAGTGTACTTCACCAGTGAGCGTAAGTTTTACTTCACCAGTGAGCGTAAGTGTACTTCACTAGTGGGTGTAAGTGTACTTCACCAGTGAGTGTAAGTGTACTTCACCAGTGAGTGTAAGTGTACTTCACCATGTGAGTGTAAGTGTACTTCACAGTGAGTGTAAGTGTACTTCACCAGTGAGTGTAAGTGTACTTCACCAGTGAGTGTAAGTGTACTTCACCAGTGGGCGTAAGTGTACTTCACCTGTGGGTGTAAGTGTACTTCACCAGTGGGCGTAAGTGTACTTCACCAGTGGGTGTAAGTGTACTTCACCAGTGGGCGTAAGTGTACTTCACCAGTGGGTGTAAGTGTACTTCACCAGTGGGTGTAAGTGTACTTCACCTGTGGGTGTTAAGTGTATACTAAAGTGGGCGTAAGTGTACTTCACCATGGGGGAGTAAGTGTACTTCACCAGTGGGCGTAAGTGTACTTCACCAGTGGGCGTAAGTGTACTTCAGTGAGTGTAAGTGTACTTCACCAGTGAAAGTGTACTTCACCAGTGGGCGTAAGTGTACTTCACCAGTGGGTGTAAGTGTACTTCACCAGTGGGTGTAAGTGTACTTCAGTGAGTGTAAGTGTACTTCACCAGTGAAAGTGTATTTCACCAGTGGGCGTAAGTGTACTTCACCAGTGAAAGTGTGCTTCACCAGTGGGCGTAAGTGTACTTCACCAGTGGGCGTAAGTGTACTTCCCCAGTGGGTGTAAGTGTACTTCAGTGAGTGTAAGTGTAACTTCACCAGTGAAAGTGTACTTCCACCAGGGGGTTGGGCGTAAGTGTACTTCACCAGTGGGCGTAAGTGTTACTTCAGTGAGGGGTAAGTGTACTTCACCAGTGAAAGTGTACTTCACCAGTGGGCGTAAGTGTACTTCACCAGTGAAAGTGTGCTTCACCAGTGGGCGTAAGTGTACTTCACCAGTGGGCGTAAGTGTACTTCACCAGTGGGTGTAAGTGTACTTCAGTGAGTGTAAGTGTACTTCACCAGTGAAAGTGTACTTCACCAGTGGGCGTAAGTGTACTTCACTAGTGAAAGTGTGCTTCACCAGTGGGCGTAAGTGTACTTCACCAGTGGGCGTAAGTGTACTTCACCAGTGGGCGTAAGTGTACTTCACCAGTGGGTGTAAGTGTACTACAGTGAGTGTAAGTGTACTTCACCAGTGAAAGTGTACTTCACCAGTGGGCGTAAGTGTACTTCACCAGTGGGCGTAAGTGTACTTCACCAGTGGGTTTGTAAGTGTGCTTCACAGGGGGTGTAAGTGTACTTCACCAGTGGGTGTAAGTGTACTTCACCAGTGGGTGTAAGTGTGCTTCACCAGTGGGTGTAAGTGTACTTCACCAGTGGGTGTAAGTGTACTTCACCAGTGGGTGTAAGTGTGCTTCACCAGTGGGTGTAAGTGTACTTCACCAGTGAGTGTAAGTGTAATTCACCAGTGGGCGTAAGTGTACTTCACAGTGGGTCTTTGTAAGTGTACTTCAGTGGTGTAAGTGTACTTCACCAGTGAAAGTGTACTTCACCAGTGGGCGTAAGTGTACTTCACCAGTGGGTGTAAGTGTACTTCAGTGAGTGTAAGTGTACTTCACCAGTGAAAGTGTACTTCACCAGTGGGCGTAAGTGTACTTCACCAGTGAGTGTAAGTGTACTTCACCAGTGAAAGTGTACTTCACCAGTGGGCGTAAGTGTACTTCACCAGTGAGTGTAAGTGTACTTCACCAGTGAAAGTGTACTTCACCAGTGGGCGTAAGTGTACTTCACCAGTGAGCGTAAGTGTAATTCACCAGTGGGTGTAAGTGTACTTCACCAATGAGTGTAAGTGTACTTCATTAGTGGGTATAAGTGTACATCACCAATGGGTGCTGAGGTGATGCAAGTGTGTTGTTGTACAGAGGGTGTAGGTGTACTGCTCCAGTAGTGGATGTAAGTGTACATCTAAAGTGGGTGCAGAAGTGATGCACCATCAGTGGGTGCAGGTGTGTTGCTTCCACCAGTGGGAACAGCAGGTATTACCACCCCCACCCAGCGGACAACACACTTGCTATGCCCAGCGGGTGTAGCAGGTGTGCTGCCCACTCCAGACCACGTACCATTGGCTCGTCAGAGTTCTTCTGGAACTGGACCAGTCTGACCCGGGTGATGTTCTCCATGTCAACGTCACCGTTGGCCGGATCCACCTCGTCACCGCCGTTGAGGTAGGGGAGGAGCGGGGGCGGCGTCACACGGATGGCTTCGTCTCCGTACACCTCGTGCGCCACCACATCATGCGCCTGAAGCAGCGCCTGCAGGGTGGGGCAAGCAGGGACACTCTCGTTAGTCACTACTGCACCGTTAGCCGGAGGCCGGGTGGGGGTCTTGCTGGGCCCGGGGAGGGGAAAGGAGGTTATCCAGGTAGAAAGAGGGCTGGCCATACAGGGTGAGGGGAAGGAGGTGATCCAGGAAGGGTAGGGCTGGCCATATAGAGTGAGGAGAAGGAAGTTATCCAGGAAGAGGAGGGTAAGGTTAATTATATAAGGCGAGAGGAAGGAGGAGTATAGGGCTGGCCATATAGGGTGAGGGGAAAAGGTCAAGATAGAAAGGGCTGGCCATATAGGGTGAGGGGAAAAGGTAAAGGCAGAGAGAAATGGCTGTTCAAATAGGGGGAGGTTAAGGTAAGAGAGAAATGGCTGGCCATATATAGAGGTAATGAAGATTTACATGTTAGTTACATAAGGTGAGAGGGAAATGTTTCTCAGGGTGAGGGAAGAAAAAAGGAATAGTCATATAGGATGAGAAAATATTTCTCAGGAAACTGACAAGAAAGCTATCCATACAGAGTGAGGTTAAGGTATTTCTCATTACGGTAAAGGAAGACAGACATCAAGGTTGGAGTCAATAAAAAAGACAGAGGTAAAGTAGGAGGAGACGAAGGAACAGGCGAGCACTGTACTAAGTGGAGACAGAAGATGGAGGTGGCGGTAGATGAAGGAGAGATAGTGGTAGTAGATGACAGAGGTAGTGGCACGGTAGATGAAGTTGTAGTGGTAGATGAAGAAGAGGTAGTGATAGTAAATTAAGTGGTGGTAGATGACGGAGAGATAGTGGTAGTACATTAAGCGATGGTTGATGACAGAGAGGTAGTGGTAGTAGACGACGGAGAGATTGTGGGGTAGATTGAAGATAAGCATCGTGGTGTAGAGGAAGGTAGTGGGGGCGAAGAAAGGTAGTGGTGGGGGAGGAAGGTAAATGGTGGTGGAGGAAGGTAGTGGTGGGGAGGAAGGTAATGGTTGGGGAGGAAGGTAGTGGTGGTGGAGGAAGGTAGTGGTGGTAGAGGAAGGTATGTGGTGGAGGAAGGTAGTGGTGGTGGAGGAAGGTAGTGGTGGTGGAGGAAGGTAGTGGTGGTGGAGGAAGGTAGTGGTGGTGGAGGAAGGTAGTGGTGGTGGAGAAGGTGGTGGTGGTAGAGAAGGTAGTGGTGGTAGAGGAAGGTAGTGGTTGGGAGGAAGGTAGTGGTGGTAGAGGAAGGTATGATGGTTGAGGAAGGTAGTGGTGGGGACGAAGATAGTGGTGGTGAGGAAGGTAGTGGTGGTGGACGAAGGTAGTGGTGATAGAGGAAGGTAGTGGTGGTAGAGGAAGGTAGTGGTAGTGTAGGAAGGAAGTGGTAATAGAGAAGGTAGTGGTGGGGAGGAAGGTAGTGGTGATAGAGGAAGGTAGTGGTGATAGAGGAAGGTAGTGGTGGTAGAGGAAGGTAGTGGTGGTAGAGGAAGGTAGTGGTGGTAGAGGAAGGTAGTGGTGGTGGAGGAAGGTAGTGGTGATAGAGGAGGTATGGTGTAGTAGGAAGGTAGTGGTGGTGGAGGAAGGTAGTGGTGGTGGAGGAAGGTAGTTGGTGATAGAGGAAGGTAGTGGTGGTAGGGAAGGTAGTGGGGTAGAGGGGGGTTGTGGTGGTAGAGGAAGGTATGGTGGTGGAGGAAGGTAGTGGTGATAGAGGAAGGTAGTGGTGGTGGAGGAAGGTAGTGGTGATAGAGGATAGGTAGTGGTGGTAGAGGAAGGTAGTGATGGTGGAGGAAGGTAGTGGTGGGGGAGGAAGTAGTGGTGCGGAGGAAGTAGTGTTGGTGGAGGTAGGTAATGGTGTAGAGGAAGGTAGTGGTGGTGGACGAAGGTAGTGGTGATAGAGAAGGTAGTGTGATAGAGGAAGGTAGTGGTGATAGAGAAGGTAGTGGTGGTAGGGAAGGTAGTGGTGATAGAGGAAGGGAGTGGTGATTGAGGAAGGAGTGGTGGTAAGGAAGGTAGTGGTGATAGAGGAAGGTATGGGTGATTGAAAGGAGGTGTGGTGATATTAGAAGGTAGTGGTGAAAGAGAGGTAATGGTGTACAGGAAGTATTGGTGGTGGAGGAAGGTAGTGTGGTGAGGAAGGTAGTGGGTGGTGGTGGAGGAAGGTATGGTGTAGAGGAAGGTAGTGGTGGTAGAGAAGGTAGTGGTGGTAGAGGAAGGTTGTGGTGGAGGAAAGGTAGTGGTGGTAGAGGAAGGTAGTGGTGGTGGAGGAAGGTAGTGGTGATAGAGGAAGGTAGTGGTGGAGAGGAAGGTAGTGGTGGTGAGGAAGGTAGTTGGTGTGGAGGAAGGTAGTGGTGTTATAGGAAGGTAGTGTGGTGGAGGAGTAGTGGTGATAGAGGAAGTTAATGTGGTAGAGGAAGGTAGTGGTGGTGAGGAAGGTAGTGTGGTGGAGGAAGGTATTTTGGGGATAGAGGAAGGTAGTGGTGGTAGAGGAAGGTAGTGGTGGTAGAGGAAGGTAGTGGTGGTGGAAGGAAGGTAGTGGTGGTGGTGGAGGATGGTAGTGGTGAAAGAGGGGAAGGTATTGGTGATAGAGGAAGGTAGTGGTGGTAGAGGAAGGTATGATGTGGTGGAGGAAGGTAGTGGTGGTGGAGAAGTTAGTGATGGTGGAGGAAGGTAGTGGTGGTAAAGGAAGTTAGTGATGGTGTGAGGAAGTAGTGGTGATAGAGGAAGGTAGTGGTGGTAGAGGAAGGTAGTGATGGTGGAGGAAGGTAGTGATGGTGGAGGAAGGTAGTGGTGGTGGAGGAGGTAGTGTGTGGCGGAGGAAGGTAGTGGTTGGTGGTGAAGGTGTGGTGGTGGAGGAAGGTAGTAGGGTGGAGGAAGGTGTGGTGTTAGAGGAAGGTAGTGTGGTGGAGGAAGGTAGTGGTGATAGAGGAAGTGTGGTGATAGAGGAAGGTGTGGTGAGGGAGGAGGTGTGGTGATGAGGATGGTAGTGGTAGAGGAAGGTATGGTGTAGAGGATGTGTGGGTGTGGGAAGTGGTGGAGGGGTGATTAGGAAGGTAGTGTTGGTAGAGGAAGGTAGTGGTGTAGAGGTAAGGTAGTGGTGGTGGAGAAGGTAGTGGTGGTGGAGGAAGGTAGTGGTGGTGTGTGAGGAAGGTAGTGGTGATAGAGGAAGGTAGTGGTGATAGAGGAAGGTAGTGGTGATAAGAAGGTAGTGGTGATAAGGAAGGTAGTGGTGGTGAGGAAAGTAGTGGTGGAGGAAGAATGTACGGTGGTGGAGGAAGGTAGTGGTGGTAGAGGAAGTAGTTGGTTTATAGGAGGAAGTAGTGGTGTAGAAAGGTAGTGTGTGGAGGAAGGTAGTGGTGGTAGAGGAAGTAGTGGTGGTAGAGAGGAAGTGGATGGGTAGAGTAGTGGTGGTGGGGAAGGTAGTGGTGTAGAGGAAGGTAGTGGTGGTGGTGGAGGAATGTAGTGGTGGTGAGGAAGGTGTGTGAGTGGAGAAGGTAATGGGTAGATGAAGGTAGTGTGGTGAGGAAGGTAGTGGTGGAGGAAGGTAGTTTGGTGTAGAGAAGGTATGGTGATGAGGAAGGTAGTGGTGGTGGAGGAAGGTAGTGCTGGTGAAGGAAGGTAGTGGTGGATAGAAGGTGTGGTGAGAGGAAGGTAGTGCTGGTGGAAGGAAGGTAGTGGTGAGGTGAGGAAGGTAGTGCTGGTGAGGAAGGTAGTGCTGTGGAGGAAGTAGTGGTGTGGAGGAAGGTTGTGTGGTAGATGAAGGTAGTGGTGGTGAGGAAGGTATGGTGGTGGAGGAAGGGAGTGGTGATTGAAGAAAGGTAGTGGTGATAGAGGAAGGTAGTGATGGTGAGGAGGTAGTGGTGGTGGAGAAGTAGTGCTGGTGGAGGAAGGTAGTGGTGGTAGATGAGGTAGTGGTGGTGGAGGAAGGAGTGGTGGTGGAGGAAGGTAGTGGTAGGTAGATGAGGTTGTGGTGGTGGAGGAAGGTAGTGGTGGTGGAGAAGGTGAGATAGTGGAGACGGTAGGGTGGTGGATGAAGGTATGGTGTGGAGGAAGTAGATGTGGTAGAGGAGGAGGTAGTGGTGTATGATAGGTAGTGGTGGTGGAGGAAGGTTGTGTGGTGAGGAGATATGGTAGTGGTGGTAGATGAAGTATGGTGGTAGAGAGTAGTGTGCTGTTGTGAAGAAGGTAGTGGTGAGGAATGTATGGGGTTAGGATGAAGGATAGTGGTGATAGGAGAGGTGTGGTGTGGAGAAAGGAGGTGGTAGAGAGATGATGGTAGTTGGTTGGAGGAAGGTAGGGTGAGTGAGGAGGTTGGTTGGTAGATGAAGAGGTAGTGAGTGGTGAGGATGGATGCTGGTGGATGAAAGTGTGTGACTAGTGAAAGGAAGGTCTTGTGCTCTAGATGAGAGTGGTGGTTGTTGAAGGTATGCTGGTGAGGAAGTGTGGTGGTGAGAGGTATGCTGAGATGGAGGAAGAGTAGTGCTGGATGAGAGAAGGTAGGGATGGTGGAGAAGTGTGATAGTGGAGGAAGGTGTGGTGATGGAGGAAGTAGTGGGGGTGGAGAAGGTAGTGATGGAGGTAGGAAGGAGTGGTGGTGGAGTGAAGGGTGATGGGAGGAAGAGTGGACGATAATGAAGGAGTGGTGGTGAAGGTATGGTGATGAGGGAAGGTGTGATAGGGAGGAGTAGTGGTGGTAGATGAGTGTTAAGTGTGGTGGGAGCATGTGGGGAGGAAGCAGTGCCCCTTGAGAAATTTTTAGTTTGGGGGGTAGCTGTGAGGAAGGTTTTATGGATAGGTATGTGTGAGGAAGTATGTGTGGTAGTAGTCAGTGGGGTAGAGTAAATGTTGATGGAAAGGTTTGGGGGGAGGAAAGGCAGGCTAGTGGAGGAAGGCAGGCGGAGGAAGGCATGCTGGTGGGGAAGTAGTGGTGGGGCAGGGTATCTGCTGGGGGGAAGTTTGTGGTAGGGGGGAAGGTGTGGTGGTGGAAGAAGGTAGTGGTTGGTGGAGGAGGTGTGGTGGGGGAGAGAAGGTA